TATATATATCCTACGATAGATGGCGCGCGTTTACACGAGCATTCGAGCACAGCGTGTTCGATCGATTTCAAATTGTGAAGACCATTTTCCCCTTCAAAAAATATTTCTATATATGCATTTGTGAACTGTTGTTTACGATATTCGTAATAATGTTTGTTTAATCACTTTATTTCAACTTTTTTTGTTTGCTAATTACGTATTCGCTCGAACTTCGTTAAAACTTTAACTGTATACCGAACAACAACCGAAGTTGTAAAAGGAAATTCGCCTATTTTACCGATCTAGAAATCCCCTTTTCCAAATTTTAATATCATCTAATAATTTAAAAAGACAAGTTACAATAAAACGGTTTATTATCCAACTATGAGAAATTTGACAACATGCCGAGGAAGAGAGGAAGGAGCAATTAAATAATTAAAATTATAAAGGATTAAAAAATATATATATATAAATGGGGAATATCGCACTTCTGACAATCGCAGCGAGTGTGTAGGCTAAATTTGGAGAATCCGCGCTTCTCGCTTGGACAACTATATGTGGCCGGCTCAGGCGTCGGAAAACCTTCCGATTTATTCGTGTACGCACCAGACGGAAAAACAAAAAATATCGTGCATCCACAAACACTCCAATAAATAAATAGAATTGAAACGACACTTTGAAATGCTTTCCCGATGAAAATTAATAATAAGTTTCAATAAAAATGATAAAATGTAAATTGAATTTTATCGTAACGAGTTTGCTTAAATTTCCTTTCTTCTGAAATCGCAGCAATGCGCGACGGGTAAGCTAGTCTAAATATATAAAATTGCTTGTCCTGACTGACTCGTTCACTCACTGATTCATCATCGCCCAGAGCAAACTGCTGAACCTAAAGAGGTGAAATTTGGTACGCAGTTAGGGTACGTCACGAAAACGCGCACTAAGAAGGGATTTTTCGAAATTCCCCCGCAGGCGGGAGAGGATTTAGTCTTCGTCGAGTACTTAGGTGTATTAAATTAATAACATTTCGGACATTGTTATAAATATTTTCATATATTTCGATTTTTTAACCAAATGTTCGAACCGTTTTAAATTCGAATTTGTTATTGCATATTGATTGGATTGTAAACGTTCCAGAAAATTGATCAAATTTAAGATAGATGGTTTGATTCTTGGCAATTGTCTTTAGCGGTAGGTGTTATATAACAATTACTATGGTTGTTGAAATACTAAATATAAATGGGGTTTGCTTGCAAAATCCGCGAGTAACAGCTAGTTAGAAATAAAATAAACAAAGTAAATGAAAGAAAATGAAAATCCGTAATAGTTTGCCAGATTGGGATCAGGCCGATAGCCTTTACGCCGAGCCGTCGTGGCCGTTAACCAACCGGGCCTATCCAAAATTTTATCGACTGCTTTTTCTTCTTTCGCTAATAGGCATAATAATAAGTAAAGAAACAAATTTGGCCGGCCGATTACGGCGCGCCAATTCCTGAGTAATCGTTTTTCCCCTAAAAGTGCCTTATCGGTCCCCGACGTTCGTCTTTTTACTTCGTTTCGTTTTACGTTTCGAACGTATTCGATCGACTTCAAAACGGTTTTAAATGTCGGTCGAATTTCGCGGATTAAATCCGACTCTGTCGGTTAATGTTCTTAGTAAATAAATAACCGAATTTGGAGGAAAATACGGAAAAAGTCGGCTATTAATCGGACCGCGATTTGAAAATATCGTAGGAATTGCCGTCGTCCGTCCCGGGTTAATGTCGGACGGGCATTAGACGGACCGAAGTCGATTATATGGAAAACGTGGCGTAAACGCCTTGTTATCGTTCCGTCGGCGAATAATCCATTTAACCGATATAAACGCTCTTTGCCCGGAGAATATTTTTATTAACCAACACTTTCGCCCATTTAAATTTTAACCTTTGAAGAATTCGACGAAAAATATCGGGTTAACGATAAATGAAAATATACAAATAAGAAAAATACGTAATGGCAGATTTAATTATACGGTAGCGAAGGTAAATCTCCGTTTTTCTATATTGGTACCGTCCCATTTTATAACAGATTTTTTCTATATACGGTATTATACTGGCGTGGCCGGGTTCGATTTTCGTCCCTTTCTTCGTTCTTTATCATTTCTCGGTATGCGGCTCCTCGACTTTATATAAGTTGTGGGCTCGTTTATAATTGTACGTTAATTCGTCGATTCTATCCACGTTTTTGGAGACTTCTCTCTATAAAATCTTCGCCATCGGAGCGCCGGTTACAAGGGCCTCTTTGTATCGTCCGATATAGGGGACCGCTTAAAAGAGATTTATAGAATTAGAGAAATTGCTACGACTTTAGGGTATAGAATATCCACCGTACAAGGGCCGGTGGGGAGTTAGGAAGAAAAGGCGGATAGAATCGACGAATTTACGTACGATATAACCCAGCCGAGGAGCCGCTTACCGAGAAACGATAAAGAACGAAGAAATTCCTTACGAAAATGGAGAAATATAATTATTTTACGGTCGTTGCCGTTTTTATTTCGGAAAACGCGCGGATATTCCTGGGCATTTCCTACGGACGAAGGAAAAGCCGTGGGCTTTGTTCTGGCGCTGGGAAATCGGCATCCGACCGTCCCCGTCACCAATTAGCTAAACGTCGTAGATTATTGTACGTAATTACGGCAGCCATTTCTAGTTTTCTGCCGGCGCTCTTTCTTTCCACGCGTACGAAATCCCCACAAACCTATTTTTTTATAAACGGGAGAAGTTTATAGTATATTTGGTAGGGGCGGAACGTTTCTCCGGCAATTTGCCGTCTTTCGACCACCTTTGGTCAGTTGGGGCTAGTCCAAATATTTCGGGTACTAATTAATTATATTTTCGGAAACCGTCCCGGGGTGGGTAAGGACGTAAAAGACTAAGGTTTTACTCGGGCGATATACGGTAAATAAGCGTTTTCCACTTATTATCCCAGGTAAAAGTAACGGGACCAGAGGCTCGGAGAGAGATAAACCTTCCGGTAATTACGTCGACCGATAAATCGAAAAGAAATAAAATGTAGGCCGGGCAAAATAATATTTTTTCTTTCGGGCTTTTCCTTGATTTTGCCGCGGGTTATTTTTATTTGCGGTCGTTTCCCGCTCGACCCGGTAGAGCCAAATTTCGTGGCAAAGTTTAAGAGCCGAGCGATTTTGCGCCTTGTCGGGTTTTGTTTTGTTTTTGTGTGTGTTTTGTCCGAATCCGACAAATTTTTATTTTTTGAATAGAAAATTTTTAGCGGTGATGAAATTTAAAGTATTTGTGTTTTTGTTATTACGAAATTTTATTGTTACATAATTTATCATACCATTTTATAGAGAATTTTCTTCCAAACAACCCGCCGAATGCAATTTGGCTCTAAGTTTATTTGTTGTCGAAATGCGACACTAAATACCCTGCAGGACCCCATTGTTTTCGTGACCTTCGACTCCCGCACCGGGTAATTATTCATATTTGGTTTTCTTAATGTAATTTGTCGTCTAATTGATATAGAATTGATTTTAATTATGTAGAAAAGAATTATTAAATTAGAAGACGTAATCGGCCTTTAGCCTATGAAAAGATTATTGAAACGTAGCTAATTTAATGATTATATTTTAAATGAATTCTTGTAAACCCCAGGCAAAAAACAGTTTGATTCTATCGGCCTTTCCTTTTCCGACCTCTCTTTGCGCGCAATTAACCGGGTTTGTTCTCTCCTCGGCCCGCTAATTACAATTACCGATGCTTTTATCTCATTAAGATAAAATCAATCTGTTTTTTGCATTTCGCTTTTCTTTTAAAATATTTAATTATTATAAAATATCTTGTGCTGATTTTATAAACAATGTAATTTGATTAAGAAACGTGCAGAAAACAGTCTGATTTTATTCTTAACTTTTTACACCGAGTTTAAATTGACTAATAATTGTCAATAAATCTTTTGTGTGTAAATGTTCTTGCGAAAGCCCAGCGCTTTCCGACTTAATTTAGGTAAAGAGAAGCGAAGAAGCGACGGGAAGGGAACCTTAAATCTTAGGATAAACGAGGCGAAAAGAATTAGTTGTTTTTTAATTTAAAAGTTTGGTGGGTGGAAGTAAGCCCGGTAAACGCCACCTTACTTTTACTGGCATTGGCTGGCTCTCCGCCAATAGCGCGCCGTCGTCGCTCCCGAAACGGGTAAGAAGTATTTCTAGTCTGGTATTAGGGCGCGGGATTAAAATATCCCCCGGTCGAGTTCCACCTTCCTTAATACGGCTCCCGATAAGCCTAGGGTTTCCCGGGGATAGCGGGCTCTCTTTCCTCGGCAGGTTTTCCGCTCGGACGGGGAGTACCCGCGGGCCGCGGCGGGGGCGTTACTTGGCCGCCGCCGGAAAAGGCCGATTCCGGGCACGGGCCAACGGAATTAAAGTGGTCGGTTCGGGCCAGAAACGTTTCCGGCCGCCGGTCCCCGGAGTAGACTGCCATCGGGGATTTCCCGGGCGTTAAATACCGAGAGACGGGTCCCCTTCTTTATCCTCTTTTGTTAGGACTGGGCCGTCGGGCGTTTTCGGTTTCTCTAATTCTTTTAAATCGCCGGCTTCGTTCATAAATTCTTCCGAAAAGTCTAAATCTCGTCGACGTCCGTGCCGTTGTTTTATATTAAACTCCTACCCGTCCCCGGTATAAATGCGGACGGTTGCGGAAGAAACTGTGTAAAAATAGAAATATATGCCGTGTCAGGTTATACAGTATTTGATTAATTCCGTGTCCCGAGTCCGGTGGGTGGTTCTTAAATCTCTGTCTGGCGCCTTCCGGAAAACCTTCGGTCCGCGTAAAGGAGGAGGACATTTCGGGCTTTAGGCGCGAGATATACCCGCGACTCCGCCCGTCCTCCTTATTTGCGAAACACTGGTCGCATCTTTAATATATGATTACACCCCGGCTCCTGCTCGAACTGGGACCGCGGGCAAACGGCTTAGCCTATTTCTTCCCGGGAGGGAATTAACCCCGTTGCCCGTCTATTTACAGCCGCCGTTTTGAAATACGAGAACAACGTCATGAACATTCGACAGTTCAACTGTTCTCCGCATCCCTATTGGCTGCCCAACTTCATGGACGTCTTCACCTGGTCTTTGCCCTTCGTCGGAGAGAAAGGTAAGACCCGGACACTTTTCCTTCCTTTTAGTAAAAGTTGCGCTCTTTTACTAAAAGAGCGTAACTTTTGGGTGGCCGATTTATTTCCGTAAAGGTAAAGGTTTTCCGGTAACGGGATGAAAATAAATTATTAGCGTTATTTATTAATCGGGAGGAGAATTAACGGAAAAAGACGGATTCCCTCCGCCCGTCTTTTCTCTTTATTTTAAAAGGGGTGGTGCCGCCGACCGAACGGAAAGGTGGGAAGCGGGCCGCCTTGACTTTGGCCGATTTTATCGTCGCTTTCGTAACCCGGCGCGGTAGGAAAATCGCCTCTCCGCCTCCGGCGCCGGGTTTCGTCCACTTTTCCCAGGTTTTCCTCGGGGTGGCGGCACGGCCGAGGGGGAAAGGACGGGTCCGTATTCCGCGGCGAAAGTAAAGGAAGGCTTCCCCGGGAGAAGGAGGGAAATGCCTTCGGTCTTTTAATGGCGGCTCTCGGGTGATCGGTGTGCCTGTCTTTGCAGTGACCGAGATGTTGGTCAACGTCCTCAACATCTGTTCCGACGACGAGTTGATGTCGGACGGCGAAGAAACCTTCGAAGGTAAAATTTTCTTATTATTTTTCTGGTAATTATTTGGTGGGGACTAATCCGGCGCTGGATTTCAGGCGCCGCCGCCACCACCGCCCGGAAAGAGGTCATCCGCAACAAAATCAGAGCCATCGGCAAGATGGCCAGAGTCTTCTCCGTCTTGAGGTAAGAACTTTTCCCCCGGGCTCCGCCGTAATTAACGTTACCTTTATTTCCTCCGTTAATATCCGGAAGCTGTATTACGCCTCTTTCGGACACCGCAGTTCCCCGACGAAAAGTTTAAAAGCGGAGGCGCGCGTGATTATTGGACTAACCCGGTCCTACGTTAACCGGGCGACAATATTTCAATTATAATGAAGAAAGGGAAGACCGTTCAACGATAATTCTTGCAAAGTACGGTTGCCTTTTTTGTCGCCGGTCGGCCGTAGCCGACTCCTAGCAATTTCTATTACGTATTTTTCGATCTCTTTACCCGTACGGAAACGATGGAAGAAGGACCGGACCGCGCGACGAAGTCGGATATTTCGCTGTGTCCGTCGACCCCGTACTCGAAAGTCGACGGACGCCATTTTCGGTTTAATCCGAGAACCCGAACCCGGGCCCTTAGCCTAGACGACCGTCGACGCGTCCAAGGTTTCACGCGGTACCGTTTCACACTCCGACGTCAAATCGGTATTGTCGAGTTCTAACTAACGCGCTTTCGGTCGAGCGGACGGCCGAAAGAGTGGTTTAAGAAGGCCACCAGCGGATGCCGTTTCTTTTTACGTCGAGTCGACACTAAGAAAATTGATAACATTATACGGCAAAAATAAAAAGGAGAATTAAAAGCGCGTATAAATGATTAAGATTATTTATTAATCACAAGTTGTGATTAATAAAGAATCTTAATGGACGAAAGAGATGGAAGAAAGGATTAAATGAAAATACTTTTTCAATTGCAGGCGATTAATTTTTCAACCAAATCTCTCCACAAATGCGACTGTCAATCTTGTAAATTCGTTTCTTATTATTTTCTATATTTCTTTTTGTTCTTGGCTTATTTTTAAAATAAAGCCTGGGAGGTTTCCATTTTGTTTTCGCTATAAGGCAAAACTTTTAACTATAATACGCGTCGATTCGTTTACGACTGGTTACGGTAAAGCCGATCGGTCGGATGCGTTGTAAATAATCCCATGGCGGTCGGCCACGCCAAAAAGCCGAGACTAAGGGCTCCGGGGTTTAGTCTCGTTAAAAGTTTTGTCTTACATCAAAATGTCTTATTTTGAAAAAACAAACGACCGACCAAAACAAGTATTAGTAACGTACGTAAAAAATAATAAGAAAATCAACTTTGGCAAATTTGACAACGAATTTACTAGAAAAAACATTCGGATTGAAAAAGGAAAGGCGCGTGTCGGGGAATGGAAAAGCCATTATTTTATTTTAATCCTTTCTTGGCTTTCCTTCCTCCATCTCTATCTTAAATTGTTCCACCTTAACGTTAATAAAGAAGAGTTTATTCTACGCCTAAGCCGCGGTAGAGCGGCCCATACCGGCGTTTATATAAAAGTTGCCAGTTACGTCACCCTTCCTACACCCCATCGTTTGTTTTTTGGTAAGCGTAGGGTGACGAGAAACCAACTTAACGCTTCCGATCAATAAATAATCTTAATATAGGGGCTACGCTCTTAATATTTTATATTATTATTAATATAAATTATATAATTGGTGGGAAAATTCGTTGCCTTAAACCACGTCTTTCGGCTCTTTCCCACGCTTCGATCGCTTATCCGTCGGCCGTTTTCGCTTCCGCCTAGACGTCTGGCCTGAGTTATAACCGGAGACTACCGATTCGACGTCGGAGTGCCAGACGGTACTAGGCCACGCCTCGGACGGATGGGGAGTCCCGGGGCCCGGCAATTTACGGACAAGTCCAGGGTCGATGGAATTTTTCGGGCTTATTTTTACCCGTGACCCGGCGGAAGCTGGCAATCGGAAGTGGTTTTTTACTTTTACCCGCTAATCTGGTGGGTTTCCTTCGACAGGGAGGAAAGCGAAACGGTTCTGCAGTTGAAAGGTCTGACGCCGACGGGCACCCTTCCGTCGGGAACGCTGTCGGGAGGAAGAACGTCCATCCGCAACGGTAAGTCCCCTCTCTTTTTCTAAAGCGCCGTTTACGCCCGAACCGAGAAACGTCGACCCGACCGGTGGAAAACGTTCCCGTCGGCCGGCGCCGGGAAAAAACACCCGGCGTATGATTTCATTTCGATGAGCTTAGGCGGCCAACAAAAAGATACGGGCTCTACCTCGATAAACTCCGAAGCCACCCTAAATCCTAAATCTCCTTTTTTTTTCTAACGCTTTAATCTATCCTATCTTAACGCGCGGTTTAACATTTCTATACATTTCCGTAATTAAATGTAGAGGACAAGGTGGTATTATGGAACCCCAATTACGTTTTAGTGAATCGTAAACGAGGTATCGTAACTACACCCACGTTTTTTGTGCGAAAAGTACCGGTAACTATTAACCTAGATGTTCCTAATCGGATGTTTCGTTAGCGTAACTATAAGTATGGTTTTCGAAGGCTTCTTTTTCGATATTCTCTCGACTTTCTACCTTGTGTCTTTTTCACAAATTGCTCCGGACGAACGTCCGCTGACAAAGAGAAAGTTCCGTATTACCGTAAAAGCACCAAAGGGGTCCGTATTTCACGCGTCGCCGTCTCGAATTAACTTACGTCCGTCCAGATCGAAATTTAAAAAACGTGATCGTCGCTCGGATGAATACGAGAATTTCGGGTGCACCCGATATGACGAGATAGACCGACGCGTGGAATGTTTGCGACGTCGTATCCAAAACTAAGATAATACGAACCCAAATTTTTAAATTCTTTTAAAATATGTATAAAATCGTTTGACGACGGCCGGTGTCTTTTAGATTTCGTCGATAAATAGATGGGTATGGAAACCATGGTTGTCCAATTCGGCCGACGTACGTCCGCTCTACCCGAAAGCGCGCGATACAATGTACCGTACAACAAGGTGACGGCACATATATGTTAAAGCGCCCGTTGTAAGAAAAATCTGTGGGCGCGCGTTTGAGTGCGTACGCCTAGGCGGAACTGTGGATTGTTTAAAAGGCCTAATGCCTACGCCACCTAAAGTTTTACCGGGCGTACGGCATTTTTGTCTTATAGGAGCGTCTGTAATCTTAATATTTTACATTGGTCGACCGCGGTAATTAAAAATATGGTCGGCCTCCGGGTCCGTATAACCCTTTCGTCGATAATTAAACGACGTAGCGGCGGACGGGTGGAAATTTTAGTTTCGTCTCCGATGTTTATTAAAGCGGGTGGTTTAACCAAGCGCCTTACTACAATAAAAGCCGACGACCCAGCCTGCAAGATATTTAAGTTTGGTACGACGAGGACGGACCGGGTCTTTTTTGAAGATGCGGAGGAAAGGAGAAAAGTTGTAGGAACGCAGTTGGGTGGTAAATATCTTGTACCGTTATTAGAACGGAAGCGGTAGAAGAGAGGAAGAAGTAAGGCCGATTCTATTACTATTACCGTCGTTTGGTTGCCACCGCCGCCCGCCATCAGTTTAAACCATTTCTTAAGAACCAACGATAGAGATGTAAATTTGATGGAATCCCATTTACTTATCGCCGATATTAACCGCCGTAAAATTCCTAATTCGATACGTTTCTAATTATTTAAATGTTTATAAATTATACGGCGCTTGAAAATAAGTCGGACTTTTATTAAATGAATAATTATAACTGACTGGCCCCACCTTTCTTCTAACCGTCGGTACCGTGCAAAGAGCGCGAAAATTTCTTACGTTTCGACCTGGCCGCCGGCGCTCTTATTCCGTCATTCCGTCCGGTGGGGATTTAAGGCCACCCTTCTTAATCCGTATATTATCGAACTCGGGCTCCTTTAATATACTCCTTGGGTTGGTGGCTACGTCGTTCCCTCTTGGGCGCTAATTCTAAATAAAAGTCGGCCCGTTTCCAGACGATAACGGTGTCGGCGTACTTCAAAGCGGTTTTAAAAGACCTCTTTCGCCTCCGTAATCTTAAAGGAGGCGATTTAAAGAAAGTTTCGCCATCTTACGTAACGAAGGTAATAAAACGTGGCTCGGAATCTGTAAAATATCCGCCTAACGTGGTAATAGCGCCAAACGGTAAACGTTTAAGATTACCCGCGCGCCAGTGGTCGAGTATTGTCGAAAATAGGTGTAGTTTGCGGGCAGCGATATGAAAAACGGAGGCCCGAAATACCCGGCCTGGTATTTCGCGCAATAAATTAAACGTCCGACTTCCGCTTCCGCTTCCGCTTTATTTTCTCCATTTCCACGGTTTTCTTAGCCGCGGAAATAAATATTTTCCGCTAATGTTTTAAAATTTCTAAATTCTTATTATTTTCCTTATTTTAATTAATTAAACCAATGCATAAATTGGAAATTTCAATCTTAATGTCATGTTTTCAAACGGCAATCATTTAAAGTTTTATAATAAACCGCTTAATCGTAAATATACGGAGATTCCGAACGGTAGTGATTCGACCCGTTCGGTCCGTTGTCCTGGCTATTATCTAGCAATGTTACGTTTACTTTCGCATCGTTACAAAAGACTACGTACAGTACGTCTGTAGTTTGAAAAACAACAAAAATCTCTTTATAGGGGGACGAAAGGTACGGCAATCTACTAGATTGGCGTAGAATAATGGCCCGCAATTTACGGCCGACCGGATGGGAGGTATTGCCCACCCTTTCCTACCGCCATAGCCGAGAATCCAAGTCGGTCGAATCTTCTAGCTAATATTATAGGCTCGTCCTTTCCCGTTTCGGTAGCCTCCGTCGTTTCCCACGTCGATTAATAAAAGGGAGAAGGAACCCCGCGGGTTTTATTCCTCGGAAGGAGGATCGGGCGGAAAGACCTAATTTTCGGCCCGCGGACACTTCCCCCGTTAAAGCGAAAGCGGGAAACTCTAGACCGGGAGATTCCGGGGACAGGGGCGCGGGCGGGGCTGCCGGAACCGGACTGATTTCTTTCTCTTTACAGCTCTGGCGGGATTCTCCCCCCACCACAAGATCACCAGCTTCGAGGAAGCCAAGGGCCTGGACAAGATCAACGAGCGGATGCCTCCCCGCAAGGACGGACACTCCGCCGCCTCGCGCCTCCTCCCGGAAGAAGAGAAGGCGGAGGCGGGTCGCTACGACGCGGCCGTCAACAGTTCCTGAGAGGCGGGGCGGAGACGGGGCTGGGGCCCGGGGCCCGAGCCGAAGAATTTTTGGGTGCTCTTTCCGGAAGGCGGCGGTCCGGACGTCGGGCGAGTCCGAGACGACGGCGGGGGCGGGAGGAGTCCTCGGACGGGAAGACGACGACGCCGCCCCTCCGGTATTTATCGTCGACCGGAAGCGAAACGAGAGTAGGTTCCGGCGACGGACTAACTTCTTTGGTCTTGGCTTTTCCACAAATAGCGTCAACTTTCGTCCTACTTTTTCTCCCTCTTCCTCCATCTGCGCACCGTGCAATTTTCACCGTGTATAATTACTGTATAGCTATTTAATTAAACAATAAAAACTTCTACCACTTTCACCTCCCTGGCCTGTCCGCCCGCACCGCGCCGAATGTAAATTTTCCGGGTTTTACGGAAACGGTAAAAGTGGCGGACGGAAGAAGAGCTCCGCGCGCGGGCTGCGGTAAGTAGGCCTTCCGGCGATTTTGGCAGAAAGACCGAAGACGGAAGCTCGGCCCGCGGTCAAAAGTGCCCTAATACCTTTGTATTAAGGACGGCGGGACTCTTTCGGGGAGAAACCCGACTTTGCGAAGATTCGAAAGTGCCAGATTTTCTGCCGACGTCCTAGGCGTTTTCCCGTTTGTCGGCGGGAATCGGAAAGTTTAAAGAAGAACGATTTTCGTCACTCGGAGCAAAGAAGAAAGGATGATAAATTTAACGCAAGTTCTACACAAATAATCGTATATAACTTAATTCAAAGAACAAAACACTGGAAATAGTATTGTTTTTCCAGGAATAAGCGTATTTTGTACACCAGTTGGTTATCGATCCGAGAAAATATCTCTAATCCGAAATCTCTACTATATTATAGTATACCGAACGCCTGCGGCGGCACCGCGTGTGCGCGTCCGGCTTTAGGGTACGTCGCGAGAACGCGCGCTAACAGGGGATTTTTTGAAAGGGACGAGATTAAGGCTTCGACGCGCGAGATTTACGGGCGCGGATGCGTTAAATGGAAAAATTTTCTAATTAGTCCGGGGTGATTTCATTTCTAATTAAACGGGTGGACCTAATTCTTGCATTCCGTCAAAGCGGGTAAGATTGGCCGTAAGGTAATAATCTTAATCTTCGCCATGGTTACTTTTTGCCCGATCCGCTAGTTTGGCCCCGTTACCGTCGACCGTTTTTATGTAATCGTCGCTTCGATTCTTTGGGCTAACGACAAAGTATTATTTCCCAATCCTTCTACTGTATTAAAGTATTTGATTTATATAACTAGGTTAAAACGAAAAGACTTTGCGGAAAATTGCGGGCCTGCATGGCCACCGCGTGGTAATAAATGATGGCCGGTTGCAATTAGTTGGGTTTATTACGTTACGTCGCCAGCCATCCGTCTGCGTCTGGGGAAAACTTTTACGTAAACCCGGACCTTATTTATGCGTTACTAACCGGAAAATAAAACACGGGACAAACTAACTACCGGCGTTGGGTGGTTTTATTCGTTCGGCTACCGGAGGCCACTTATTAATGGAGGACTTAAATGTTTGGAGTGGGGAGATTGTATTCGACGGCCGTCCGTTTTAAGAAATGGAATCAAAGTCGCCATAACAATTACTTAACTAATTTAATGAGTAAATAAGATAAAAAGGGTTACGAATGAAATAAACGATAAATAATACAATTTAACAATTACAAAATCTAAGATTACGGCGTTGTAGCTTCTTTTCTATTCGTATAGAGAGAGAGTTTATACAAATTGACGAAATACCTGTAAAATATACTCTGGCTCGTTTCGTAAAGATGGAAGTCGGGCAAAAAATAAATAATTGATAACTTTCCAATATATATATGGAGGGTTCTGTAACTATCCTCTGTGGTATTTTGTGGGAGATCCGTCGACTTTATTATACATAGATTTGCGAGTTGTAATGGCTTCTCCCGAATCGGATGTGTAAAACCCTTTTATATTGATTTATCTCCGATGAAGAGTTGTTTCTTGTCGTCTGACAATGAGTCGGGTTAGCTGGGAGTTGATGCGAATTCTCTAAGGAAGTAAATGTATTTCCTTATCCTCTCAAAAAGTGGAAAAGTGTGATTTTGTGACAAAATATTACATCGATTTAGGAAAATAAACGAATCTCGCATACACATAGCGCTGCTAGTAATGCCGACTGACGCAGTAGACGGCCAAAGGTTTCTTATTTTTTTCTATTTCGTTTTTCTTTTCTTTCTGCATTTTACGTGCGAAACACGGAATTCGCACCGAACGATACGTCAGCTTTTTTCTGTAAGTGTGACTCCAGCGGGTCCAACTTAGAAAACACGGACGGCGCTTTACTCGAAGGATTGGACCGTCCACGGCGGTAATTTCCGTGCAAATCGCTGGTTTCTCGGGACTCTTCTTCCCACTTTAAATAATTCTCCTCTTCCCGTTCTTTTGGCCGCTTTCCCTTAAGAATTAAGACTTATTTTATCCTTTCCGAACGCCGCGTCGGAAAGACGTCCGGTTAGGCGGAGCCAAAATATCACTTTTTCGGGCTAATGAATGTCTCGCCACCCTCGCGCGTCGGGATAGATTACCAGCCTACGGTGGTCCGACCGGCGCGAAAAACCACGGACGAGGTAACGTCGTACCCGCCTGTTGTAGATACCAGCAAAACCGTGGTACAAATTAGCCGGGACCGCAATCTAGGATAAGGCCGGTTACTCTCGACCCGCGTCGCCTACGTCTTTCTTTCTTAAATACTTCTGTACGTAATAAAAATCATCGCGTGGCGGTCGACGTTATACGCGTCCGAAAGAAACCCCACGCGCTCCGCCAAATACGGCGCCGGTCCGACGTTAGTCCTAAAACGGCGGCCGTCGCTAATTATTTTGAACCGAAATCTAGGCCCCGAGCCGGCGTTAGTTCTAAATTATGCCGCTGCGCTAAACGGCGCCGACAGCCTCTAGCTCGATTTGTGGTATTTTCTGGTCGTACTCGCAAATTACCAATGCTTTATTCGTAATTACTGTCGGTTAAAAATCAAAGTTACATTTTTACATCGACGCCTTACTTATAAATTAACGATTTCTCCGTAAAAAATACGATAATGTCGAGAACTCGTAGCATTATAAGGTGGAATTACTAAAGACCATACAGATACAGTAACTATAAGAGGTTGCGGCCCAAGTTCAAACGTTAAACTTGTACGGCGAGCGGAAGTACACGTTTGACGTTTGAACTCCGAGTAAAACGTTGCGTCGCGCACTGACTCGTGGGATATTATCGAAAAATGGCGAAAACGTTTAACGACGACGAATGTTAGGGGAAGGTAAATAAGCAAATTAAACTATTTTAAAGTATTTATAGGATGTTTAATAACACTAAATAAATATTTTTAATTAGCGCGGTGTTTCCTATTGTACGAGCGGACGATAAGACTACCTCGTACTTTGTCGAGGGAAGTAGTGGCTTAAGTAAATCCGAAAGCGGCTCGGAAAATTATTTTTAGAAAATTTACAAACGTATTACGCTGTTGATGGCGGAAGATGCCGTGAAGGAACAAACCTACTCCTACAGAATTATGATAATCTATTATGAACAGTGTAGGGAACCCGTTCTTAATCAGCGGATTCCGCCCCGTCGGTTCGTCTCACCAATTAACCAGTCCAATATTTCCGCAAAAAAAACGTTATTCCAATCTCAGGGACCGTTACTTCGCACTTCCTCTCCCTCTCGTGTCCCGAATTCCTCTCTCCAAAAAATTCTCCTTCCCGGGTCTTAACGGCCCCTCGTTAGCGTGTGTCGATGGATGGATCGCATCTGCCCCGACGAAAACCCCCCAGAGAGGGAGGACGAGAAGGTCCGATATCACTACAAACAGAAATATATGTAAATTCTTTTTGCACTTGCAAAAAAATTGAATAATTAAATAATTTCTGGATTAAAATCGTCCGTTTCTTTACAGTATTATTCGCAAATGCTTAAGTAATCATTATTTTAATAAAATACGTCATAATTTTAACCCCAAACGCAATAAAATGAACTTTAAGCCCAACCTCTACTCGCCACGCTAGACGTAGCCAACGCCATTGTCAACTTTCTAGAATTGCCAGATGGCGGCGCTCGACGTCCGACGTTGACGTTTTGGGCCGAAAACGTGGCCGCAACCTCTCTATAGTCGATGATAGTGATTATTTATCTTTCCCCATCTACAGACTATGGAATTTTCCTTGACGTTATAAATACTATAATATATTGTAATAAAAGCAAATACAGAAAGGGGCCGTCCGTAAATTACGTAAGGGCGATCCTACCCCTGCGTAAGAAACCGCAATATTTTCTTTGAATCCTCCTCCCCTACCCTATCTTACGTAATATTTAGGCATGATTTTATAGAAAAATTTTTATGAAACCCTAAAAACCTTAGGTTCAAAATATATAATTATTAATTAGTTAATTAATATGTACTATTATTTATAAAAGACTTTACGTGAACAAATTTAAAAATTTAATGAATTCGAACATTTTAAGAACTTTATTTTTTAATTATTAACAATTTTATTATTATTATTATTATATTAATCAACGTCATAATATTTATTTTTATATTAATTTTAATTTTCACAAAAGATACAAAAAACTTTGCCAGATTGACTTTCTAGTGCACGTGTAAACAGAAACGTCATCTATACTAATATTATAGAGGTTATGTTTGTAAGTACGTTTGGATGTAGCGGGTAATCTCCGAAATTTCAAAAAGTCACCAATATTTAGAATGGAACTTCGGGGTGGACGTAGGCCGTATATTATTCCGTTAAACATTCGTATAAATTAAAAGATATCATCTAGGTTAAAGCTTTTATGTCCAACAGATGGCGCTACGAGTACGACGCCCTAAGTTTGCTTTTCTGTGAAAATGAACTAAAGCGGATCATCATCTATCTATCTATATAAATAAAAATGTAATGTTCGCTTGTTCTACCGAATCCTTTGAAATTTTGACACAACGCCGCATTCGAATACGCACGTGTTTTTATATAATATACGTGTCGAAATTCCCCCACTGAAGGGAGATGGTTAGGAATAATGCTTACCGTGAAGAACTCCGCTTCTATTATACTATTTTAGATGCGGTTTTTTGCGTTTTTGATG